TTGAGGGTAATAATATAGTGCAGACTGGATGGTAATTACCTAAACCCGTGCTCAAACTTGCGGTCGTACAATTGTAGACAAGTTGTCTGGAGGAGTGAGAGAACTACTTGGAAACTGCTGGCACGGATCACAGAGAAATATTTATAAGGTTACAAATTTACCACAAATGGGAACTTCATCAACGGTCTTAAAAAGAAATTGGACAGACATTCTAACAAGGATCAGCCGGGTAAAAATTCTGGGCTTACACTTATTATGTGAGAGCACCTACATACCCAGATTTTGTTTTTGCTCGTTTCCTTTTTTTTTTGATAAAATATGACACAACTAATTCAATTTGATGAACGGATGAAAAAGCCCCACCCCCTTCCCCCAAAAAATCAACGCCTGCGGCTCAGGTCGTGTATTTTGCAAGCGCGTTGGACGGAAATTAGAGAAAAGAAAAGAAATCATTGACTGGGAAATTAAGGAGTGACGAATTCTGAGCTTGCAGTTTCCACTTATTTTGAGAAAGCAGTTCTTATTTATTCGGATTTTCATGTCCACTTTTATCATTTCTTTCAATAAAATATGACTGAAATTAATCCCAATTAATGAATTGATGAGATAAAAACAATGAAAAATCAACACCAAAGAGCGAATAGCATGTACTTTGCAAGAAAGGTGAAAGAAAACAGTAAAGGCACCCTCTATAAACACCATGAAGTAAAGGGCAACAGCACACGACGCGTCACTTCGTGTCGTGTATCGCATCGTGCTTCAGGCGACGCGATGCACGACACAATGTACGACGTGACACACGACAGCATGACGCGACGGAAGGGGCGACGTTTAGGTGGCAAAAAATGCAACATGGAAAATACCTAAAGTAGCACGACGCGACGGCATGACGCTACACACGACGCGACGTGTCGTGTGTGTACAAACGTAATGGCAGGAAGGCGACGGTCCCTTTGCACGACGCAAGGGAGCCGTCGCGTCGTCTGGTCGCGTCGCCTGGAGGGAGGCTAAAGAGAGAGAGAAATGTTTGTCGTAAATAGTACACCATAGGAGCTAGCTGGATAATCAGGAGCTCACTGGATGATCAGGAGCTCACTGGATGATCAGGAGCTCACTGGGTGATCAGGAGCTAGCTGGATGATCAGAAGATCACTGGATGATCAGAAGCTCACTGGATGATCAGAAGCTCACTGGATGATCAGAAGCTCACTGGATGATCAGAAGCTCACTGGATAATCAGGAGCTCACTGGATGATCAGGAGCTCACTGGGTGATCAGGAGCTAGCTGGATGATCAGGAGCTCACTGGATGATTTTAGTTACACGTACATTCAGTTGACATGCTGTACTCCAGATACATTGAGTGTTTTCAGAATATTTTTGTTGGCTTTTGTTGCAATTTTTCACATTGAAAAATTTGTCAGCTTGAACTCTTTCAAATCCTTTTGCCTGCTGACCAAAAGGAAGTGTGGCATGTTTGATTGCGTTTTGTCATTATCCCAATTATGACACCTTTTTGTAGTTTATATTAACTTTGTCTGTCGACAATTGCTCAGTTAGTCCTTTACTATTAAGGTCATGAGAACTGATTTCAATAATCTAGCCTGAGGAGTTCCAATCCTAACTGGGTCCTGAATGATTATTGTCCTGGCTTATTTCCATTATGAGCTGCTCCTTGGTGGAAAATATTGCATCCTGATTTAATGTTTGTCATTTATTAGAGCACAAATTAGTCAATAGATTGCCGCACATTTGGAGTCTTTATTTCATTAGAATGGGGGCAGTTGGAGGTTCTGTGAGGTGTTAAATTGAAGAATGGGGGGAGATAAATCTGCAAAGTGCACCAACCTAAATTAGAACTTTTTTAACATGGTTTCAAATATAGGTCACATGGGTTACTTTAGGAAACCTTTGTAGTGTCTTACACAAACAGATATCCTCTCACATTCAAATTTGAAGATAGGTTAAAGTTAACAGTACCTTACAATACTTGAAGTTTCCAATGGTAAATTTGAGATGGAATTCTGAAATGCAAGGGGATCTCGGTCAGACCATAGTTTTCCAGGGCGTCAATTGCTTTTCAAAGGGTGGGGGAACATAACCTTAAACAGAACTAATGCAAGCAAAACACAAAGCCCTTACAGTCTATAAAGGACCCTGGAAAATTTTGGATTCTTGATATGTTGTGCGATCTGAGGCAAATTGTTAACACTTTAACTCATTTTTGAAGCACAGACGTTTGAAAGACTCATTTCATTTTTCAAATAATTTCTGTCTGAATGTACATGTATGAAGCAAATGTAAGCCAGCTTCCCCAACCTTTTTTTAGTTAGGGTCCGGGAAAAAAGTGGAGGGGACAAATGATAAGATGCCCCCCTCCCCTTTAAAAGGTGGGAGGGAGGGCATACCCCTCCCATCCCCCACTGAGGGATTGGGTGTTTTACTAGTTACTTAATGGAGGTTTCACACCTCAGTGGCAAAAGCAATGTGACTTGTTACATAGTTTTAATACCTATGATTGGAATCAGAGTATCAATGGGTTTTTGAGGTTTGATTCTGTGGAAACAAATGCGTTTTGTACTTTAGATGGAAAGCTTTGATAAATCTAGAATTTAAAACAAGATGCGATCCCTTAAAAGTTTTTAGAATAGAGGTATCCAATGCATATGAAATGAAAC